AATTAATTGAAACTTTAGGAGAGAAGTAATTAAGGCTGGAGGGAAGGAGGTGGGTAACTAATTGAGAAGTGGATAATTAATCTAGGAGAGGGAGCGGGTAAACAATTGAGGCAGAGGGTGATAGGGACGGTTAAGTATTTGAAGGGTATGATATCTAGGGTTGCTCGACGATAGCTCTAGAGCAGGTCCATTATGCCAAATTCCACAATTCATGCGATATCGCTTGTTTAGATTTGGCATTATAAATGAAAATTAATTCGACATTCCCCTAACCCCCATTCTTAAATTGGCCGATTCCCTGTTTAATTAAATATACAAGAGATCGTGCAGGGGCTACTATGTTCGGTAAAAATCTTGGTTAATGAGACTGAGAATTTCAACAGAGTTCGTTCTCTACTATAATTATTCTGAGCGATTATTAAATTAATTAATTAGATAATGGACATCTTCTTTCCCAACACTATCAACTAAATTGTGAAATTAAAGCAAACGACGATTTTAAAGATTAATTTTATTTAATAAAAGTTAAACCAGACAAATTTTATTTTTAAAAATCAAAAACCAATTTAATAAAAATGATTTTTAATTTTTTGTATTTAAATATTTAAATCTCTATCCAACTAAAAAGAAAAATTTAATAAAAAAAATAATTATTTTTATAAACTAAAATATGATTTAATCCGCAATTTTAATCTTAAAATCCGCAAACTCAGTCCACAAATCAAAGCACACTTAATTTTACGCAATCCGCAAATTGTAGCTACGGCCTGGTACGGAATCCGATTTCCGACTTTTGAGCATGTTCCGATTTCCGGTTCTTTCGATTTCCTACACCTCTGACTGTTCCGACCTACCTCTGGACATTTGTAGATTTCTAAATATTTGTTTAGGTACATATGTAGATAAGGCAAGGGATAAACAATCATATAAATATGATTTAATTTACTAATTTAATTTACTAATAATTGAATCAATTTAATTTACTAATAATTGAAAAAATATTCATTAAAAAATTATTATTTTTATTATTTTTTTATTTTTTAAATTTCTTTTGCAAATTTTAAATCTCTAATTTTTAAATTTTGGAAATAATTTTTTAGAAAATTTAAATAAAAAAATAAAAAAAAATTTCTAAATATTTGTTTAGCTTTCCTTTAATATTTTAGCTTTTGCTCAATTTAGAGGAGAAAATTCTTCGATAAAAAGTAAAAATCCTTTAATAATAGATTTTTAAAAATTATTTTATTTAAAATTAATCAATTTAATTTACTAATAATTGAAAAAATATTTTTTAAATCAATTTAATAAATACTCGAATACAGAATTTATTTACACCCTCTACGGCTGAAAAAATCATTTAGAAGTATATGAAATTGAGAGTATCGAGTAGGCAGTTCCTTTAACTAGAGCTGTCATAGACATAAAATTTTACAGGGCTCGAGACTGATTGTGAGACTTGATCCTGAGATCAAGACTAGTGATCGGACGGTATTTAAATTTGTATCCATGTTCGAAGTATGATTAGTGCATATAGGTGACTGGGCCGTCTTGCCATGGGGCCGTCTTGCCGTGTGGGCCGGAAATTTAAATATTGAACTTATATAGTATAGTTCCCGTTCTCGGAACAACTTCCCTCCTTTATCGGGCAACCAGACACTCATACGCAAGATAATGACTCTCTCGGACAGCTCTACGACTCTACCCCTCACTCAATGTCCAACTAAAAATTACTAAGCTCTTCTTAAAGTGAGTATTGATGGTAAATAAAATTGCGATCCGACTACAAAAATTTTTTCTTAATTTTTATTTTAAAATAGCCTAATTAAATTTTAAAAATGCTTTATTATTTTATTTTTTTATTCAAATTATTTATGGTTATTTTACCAACAAAATCATGTATAACTATAACTACTAAAAGAATAACGAAAAATAGTGTCGGTTCATTGGAGTTAAACTCGATAGAACACAATCGTTGGGGAACTGTTTATGTTGGAAATCCTGGTTAATAATTAAATTTTAATACTCGAGGCCTCATTATAAGATGCTAGGATACCCTCTTGGGGTGGAATTCGTGCCTTATAATGAGGTGTATATTATAGTGATGCTTGGATACACCCATCCCGACTCCCGAATCGGGAAATTTTCTCAAGTTTTTGGACTCCCGACTCCCGAGGTCATTTCCCGGGGTCGACTCCCGTTTCCCGTTCCCGGGGTTTTTCTTCTCCCGAGCATCACTAGTATATTAAATAGAGAGTACCCCCCCCTCACTCATTGCTAACCAAATTTTAAAAAGAATGTAGCTTATAAGGGGTATATCCAGCATTAAGGGTATCTTATATTGAGATCTACAGTAGAACCTCCTATTTAAATACACCTATTATTAGAGACTCCTCAATTTAAGTTCTATTTTTTATAATTTGGTTGTTCACTTGGAGGGGGAAGTGCCTAAGCAAACCCCTCTATTTAATAAACAGCTCATTATAAGATACATTTAGCCCCAAAGGTGTATTCTATAATGAGGTTATTAAACTCTTGATTTTAAAATAAACAAATAATTTTTTAAATAAAATTAGCAAAAGAATTCCAACTTCTTTTTCAACTTAATTCCACTGATTTTTGGTTAATAAATGAAAATGCTAATCTTGGATTTAAAGAAAAAGACAGAACAAAACAACGTTATAATAAAAAGTAGATAGATAATTTTAGAAATTTTTAAATTAATAGGGCTTCAAAAAAGAGTTAAGGATTGTTATCCCACAGGGACGAGGGGCAAGGATAAAATGAAGGGAGGCAAAGATAAATGAGGGGGGCGAAGAGAGGGGGGCACTTTTTCTTAAAATGGTCGACGTTTGTACCATTTTTTAGACAAACATCCGTACATCCGTATCCTTAGGATATTCGCGGGTATCTGGATATTATCCGTAGGTACAAAGATACATTTCTTTAGTGCCTCAAAGAACACTTTTTGTATGCTAAGGGGATTTGGAGATTAATTGAGGGGGGATATCGAGGGCGGGGAGGCAAAAGTCTAATGAGGGGTAAGAGCAAGAAAAATTGGAGATAAATACGCGGAATTTAAAAATTTCATTTTAAGTAAATCAAGTTCATCAAAATTAGTAAAAGAAGGTGTCAAAGAAGAAAATATAAATGGAATTCTTTTTCAAGATAATATTGAGGTATTTAAATCAAATTTAGACATGGACACGCATTTTGGTATCCATATCCGGATATATCCATATAACTTTGAGGTCAGATCCAGGGCTGAGCGCAGCTAAAAAAAATTTTTTCCGTAGACCCAAACTGCAAGTCAAAAAACCGCAATTGCGTCCATCCCTGGTCAGCTCCATCCTTTTTCTCAAAATAGTCAACATCAGTACTCTTTCGAGACAAACATCCGTACAGCCGTATTGCAGGATATCCGAGGATGTACCCGGATGCTCAAGTGCCCATGTCTGGCCCATGCCCAAGTCTTATTAAAATAATTAACTAAAATTTTAATTAAAAAAGATTGGAAATATCAAAATTCAAAACATTACTTTCGTCTCAGGAATAACTGGATTTCCAAATTATTTAGAATTTTTGGACGAAATTGATGGTGTTTTTGGATTATCTCCTTTAAAGACAGAAAAATCTTTTTTAAATTTAATTTTTAAAGAAGTAAATAAACCAATAATTACTTTGTATACGAGAGGGTATGTTTTAAGTCTTTGATTAAGTTGAACCTAATTATTAAACACACTTAATTAGGTTGGGGGTTTCGAATCGGGCCGACGTTCGAGTCATTTTTTCGGGCTTTATTTTTATCGGGCCGGCCCGACCAAGTCTTTTCGGGCCAAAATTCAATGCCCGACTCGACCTTTTGGGCCGGACCGGACCCCAACCCTATACAAATACATACTCACAGGCAGGACTGGGAGTGCCATATGGTCGAGATCAAAACCCAGAAAACCTGATTTTTGTTCGAACTCTTAACTCAGTCCAGTTTCTAATATGGAAGCAAAGGATGGGGGCGCTCTTGCTTCCCACGAACTTTAAAATATGGTATGGCCCATCCATGATATACTCCCAGGGACTGAAAACCTGATCTTTGTTCGAACTCTCGTCTCGATCCGGTTCTAGAATATAAACAAAGTATAGGGCTTCTTGCTGCTTTGGTACAGTCTCACACTATGGCAAGACGAATATATCAATTGGGGCATTCCCTGTTGATAACCAATTTAAAAATTTTATGAGATGATACCAAAGCGAGGGGGAGACCCACCTGTAGTTAATCTCTTAACGATTAAAAAAAATTTTCTTAAGAGTAATATCCGGCGATTCTGATGTTTCGGTTGGAATTGGTTCGGTTACTTTAGGTTCTGAAAATGAAAAGGATTGTGCTGCTGGCAGTTATAAACATGCTAAACTGTCCGGAAATGAATGGGCAACAGATTTGAACTTAATTAAAATTGGGAATGATAAAATAAATGTTGGGAATGAAATGATTAAAGCAAAGTAATTAAACATATGACGAATAATGTTGCTTTTTCTTCCTAACAATAGCCGGGATAAAAAACTATGGACCGAGTTGCTAATATTGGAAGTCTTGTGGAACCTCTCACACATTTAACATCTCCTCGAATTAGGGTTGTTAGATCACTTAGATATCCAAAACAGACAAAGTCCACAAATCCTTTCATTCCCCAACCATTTTGTCAGGGACTGTTAGGACTGTAAGCGTTAGCCCATAAATCCAAAAATTATGGGATATGGTTTGAGTTAAAAATATTAAGAGAATGGTGGGATTAAGAGAATTTTGATGGGGAGGGAGGAGATATCGAATATAAAAAATGAATTCGAATTTGAAAAACAACCTAAGGCAGTTTTAAAGCCACATGCTAAGGAAGTTAATACACTTCCCGTAATCAAACACAGCACTAGTTGATTAAAAAATTTTATTTTCTTAAACCAGAAAAACGCAAAACATTCCAAAATTGCGAATTGTCGATGGTGCCCTTTACATGTACGCACCTAAAGAACAGCTTGACAAAATTGCAATTGGATTGGGTGTTATAAATATTTCAAAAAATGCTAGCGATTTTTATCTACTTCCATTAGAAAAGTGCCAACAAGAAAAGACTATGCCTAATGTTGTTTTGAATGTTGGGGATTTACAAAACAAAAAAATAAATGTTGTGTTAAAACCAAAACAATATATGGAGTTATATGAAGAAGAACATGGAGATGAGGTATAGTGATAGGAAGGGATCAAAGAAATCTCTTAGTGAATGGAAGTCGAACGTCCCTTGGAGAGGATTGAAATGTAGAGTGGGTGGCCGTTCTAGGATAGAAAATACGGTTCAGTAACCCGACCCCGAACGATTTTGTCGAGCCCAACCCGGACATCTGCAACAACAACAAACCCCGAGCTTTCCGGCCCAGACGAGGCAGGGTCCAACCATATTAAAAACGTACCTTAAATTTAGGTGTAGAGTGTTAAATATGAGCGATTTAAGTCAGATCCGGATTAAAATCAACATAGTCCACTTTATTCCAGGTTATTTCTTAGGCTTGAATTTTTAAGGAAAACGCCCAAACAAGACGATAAAGAATTAAGTCAGTGTTGAACCCATCCCTTTAGTCAGTGTTGGACCCACCCCTCTATCCTTCTAACCCAGACCTCGGCTTGCGTAAAATCAACAAACCCCGATCTCGAACCTTATATCCTCGAACGCTCGGGTCCAACCCCTAACTTGAGCCTTAGTATTATCCTCTATGTGATATTAAATTCTTTTCTACAAAATAAAAAAATATTTTGAAAGGCAATAACAGAATCATGTCGTCTTTTATTTTTGCCGAATGAAGGAATGGGAGGATTTGATAATAATGATTGGAATATGGGTGAATTATTTATGTTAAATCGTTGTGTGTCATTAAATTTTGAGGAGGGCACTATTGGATTTGCTGATAAAATAAATAATTTGGAGGATAAGCTTGAGGAGATTGAAGATGCTATTGATAATATCTAAGTAGATAAATACAGTTCAACCTCGTTATAAGATACACTTTTGGATTGAAAAAGTGTTACCTTATAATGGGGTGTTTCTTAAATAGAGGGTATCGCTTAGATAACTCTCCTACCCAACGGCCAACTAAAACTTCTAAAAAGCCTATCTTGAATCGAGGTCTATCCTATTAAAGGTATCTTATACAGACGTACCTCCCTATAACACACCCCCAATACTAGACACACCTCTATTTAAGGTACATTCTTTTTAAAATTTGGTTGATTGGGATGGGGATGGGGATTAGCTGGGGATCTGGTTGGTTGGGGATTGGGATTGGGGATCTGGCTGAACAATACTCTCTATTTAAGACACAGCTCATTATAAAGTAACGATAGTGATGGGGATTGGATGGATTAAGGATCTGGTAGCACAATACTCTCTATTTAAGAGACACCCCATTATAAGGTAAACGATTTTAGTCCCAAGGGTGTATCATAAAGTGAGATTTGACTGTATATTAAAAATATTCTCAAATTTATCTTATTTAAAATATTTTCTCGAAATTAAAATTTGTATCAAATTTGCATAAATCTTTGAAATTATTTTATATTTAGGCTTAGGCTTATATTATATTAACAAAAAGAGGCTGGAGAGAAATCCGTTTCGAACAGGGTTGTCACTGGTTATCCGAGCCTCGAAACCCCGAACCCAGACCCGAGGAATATTCGAAACCCGACCTTAGGGACAAGATCCTAGGATACTTAAACATGATACTTTCCCCTTACTCCCTTATATGCCCCAAAACCCGACACTTTTTTAACCCGTTACATCACTGGTTTGGACTAAGAAGGATGAAAAGAACATAGTCCTTTCCGATTAGGTTGTAGGAACAACATGTATTTGCTATAGGTCGGATTGGGAGGCCGTACGATAATAGTGATTTAGCGATAATAGAGAATTATCAATCTCGATAACCGTCTCGGCCCGGTCTCTAGTATTTACCTAATAATCTTTAGCCTTTAACCGATTCTGGCCTTTCGCCGAATTTTTCTTTCTAAATCAGTTTATACACATCCCATTTACATTACTAATAAACAGTGTGGAGAGAACATGAAAAGGATGGATAAAACATGGAATTCACCCCAAAATCACGTGATTTTTGATTCAAACTATAAAAAAATTAATTTTAGCTTGTAAAAGAAAATATTTCAAAAATAAAATTCGCTTTTTAATGTACGTGTATGTACAAGTAAATTCAACGTGGATGGTTGGATTGATTGCGGTAGTTTAGGCGCCTCAATGGTTTGGCACTCAAACTGAAACTTTTTTCTAAACACCCAATACGAGACACCTCATTTTAGGATGGGGAGCGCCTAGGCATTACCCTCGTTCTAAGCTACCCGCCATTATAAGGCACCTGGGGATGCCTTATAGTGAGGCTTGATTAAAGCCTAGGTAGCCTAATTTGGTCCGGTTGCCAATTTTCTATGGCCAAATTTGGTTGGCCACCGAATTTTCCAAAACCCACAAACTCTGAACTACAAGTGCATATCAACGCTAAAATATATATCCTTCTAATAGATGCCCACATTACAAGCTACGATCAGTTCAGCCCCAAGGATCTATATAATACTGAAGAGGGGTCTATAAATTTCAAAAGCCCAGCGCCGAAACGACCCCCGTCCCACGTGGAAAGCCAAAAATTTAAATTCTTGGGGTGCTGTCATGAAATAAAATATAATAGAAAATTTATTTATTGGCAAACAGGTGTAATTATAATTTAAATTAAATTTTAAAATAGAAAAAAATTTTTTTTTAATTTTTAAATTTATTTTTAAGTTAATTTTACTCTCTACAATTTAATTCATTTAATTTTAAAAAATATTTTCCCCCTAAATTTAAAAAAAATGAAGTTTTATTTAATTTTTCCATTATTTTTTATTCCAATTTTTAATTCTTTTTGTAATGGAAAAATAGCCACAACAGAGGTATTGACACTCGGCAATCAGTTATATGTCAAGATATCTATGGGGAATCCTGGTAGGGTTTTCTAATAATTATAAGTGTAAAGAAGGATGATCTAGCTGGATAACATCTAAAAATTCTATTAATGTAAGGGCTTCATGTAGGTGCCCAATGCTTCGATATCTCGATTTGTTCCTACTTTATAACAAGCATGAATACGAATTCTGGTACGAAGATAGGATAGTTAATGAGAAAAAAGCCTAAGTTTATCCAAAGTATCAAGTATAAGTGTAGGCGGAGGCGAAATTATGAGTGTATCGAAGAAGGAGATCGGAGACTAGCCTGGTATTTACGATTAAATTAGGCTGACACAGCCGCTGGATGTTATACTAGAGACCTCTAAGACCCTTGGTATTGAGTCTTGACACAAGACCTTGGAGTTTCCTGAGTTTATATTGAGTTTTGTGGGTCAAGTCTTCGGTCTTTTGAGTTTTGGAAAATTTTCTATCTAGGTATTTACGATCCTATTAGGCTATACAGACATAGAGACCTATAAGACCCTTGGTCTTGAGTCTTGATTCAATACCTTGGGGTTTTCCTGAGTTGATGTTAAGTTTGTGGGTCAGTCCAAGTAGAAGGTATAAGTGTAGGCGAGGGCGTATTATTATGGATCAGTCTTGCTTTGACCTTGGAACATTTTCGGTCTTGGACACACCCGTTTTATATAATACTATCATAGGTTGATCATTTAGCCACAATAATTGTGCGGGGTTAAAAATATAAATTTAAAAAATAATTTTTATAGGAGTTGATTACAATTTGCGATTGCAATTCGCTTCTACTATTTTATGGTTTAAGCCTAAAAAGTATAATCAAAGATCACCATCTTCCAAAAGAGGCAACTCAGTCAATAAAGAAGGAATTGGTGGAACTAGTGTATCTGACACGATAAAAGTAAATAAAAATTTTTCTAATGAAATAGCAGTCAAGGATTGACAGATTCGGATCCGAATAATCTTCTTGGGTCGTCTCTCTCTTCGGAACAGAACGGAGAGAGAGAGATCTTCTTGGATCGTCTCTCTCTTCGGAACAGAACGGAGAGAGAGAGATCTTCTTGGGTCGTCTCTCTCTTCAGGGAGGGGACTTCCATCTAGTCTTTGGGGAGGGGTCTTCTTGGGGCAGGCAAAGGTTGGCTCTTCTCAGGGACCAGTCCTTTGTTTTGAGTATTCCTTTCCCCCTAATTTTTTATGAAATTTTTTATGAAAATGAATTAAACATTATTTTTCAGATTGGCGACGTTTCTTTCCCCAATGTGCCATTAATTGAAGCCAAATCAGGCATTCCAAAAATGGACAAATCTTTTTCTGGTTCTTTTGGGTTGTCTCCAGAAAATAATGATCATCTAACTTCAATATTAAGTCAACTTGAAAAGCATATAGTTACAATAAAAATAGCCGGGTTAATGATTTAAAAATGGCACTATACTGTAGATAGGGCGATTTTTAGGGGTACCAAGTAGGCGTGCGGCCATAACGGCGCAAAGCCATAACTTGCTTCAAGATTTCCGAATCTTTCAAAATTTAGTATCACACGATTCCTCTCCTCGAGCTAAAGAGATTGGTACCGAAATTGTTAAGGTCCAGAAATTTTCCAGCTAGTCCGCAAAAATAGTCCGCAAAAATAGCACGCAAAAATCCTCAGTTCAAAATCTACAGTAATGCCTTAAAAATACATAAATAAATTCTCAACTATTTATATTTAAAGAGGTATTTCTGGAGGTGGTGGTATAATTTCAGCTGGAATTGGTTCATTAACTTTGGGTGGAGAAGATTCGGATTGTAAAAATTATAAATATGTAAAAGCTAATTGTGGTTGGTCTACAGCCTTGCAGTCTGTAAAAGTTGGAACCTCCTCTTCAACTATAATGTGTGTAAATTTAAAATAATTAGTTCTTCAGAGATGGGTAAACTACCCTAATACTTTAATAATTGCCTGGGTCTTGATATTGCTGGAACGCATATACATCATGAGACACATAAAAGTTCATGGGACACATGCTCTATACCAAAGCCAATTATTTTTTCAGCCCCTTCCAGAGGGTAATTAATAGAGCATATACGGTAACCACGTAAGTTAACTAACCCCTTAAATAAACACATAAACTGCCCCATGTTCTAACAACATTATACCACACTTTAAGATACGTTTATATAAGTTGGCACACCATAAAGATACCGATCATTATAAGTAGGGTTGGGGGATCGGTATTTTTGGAATAATGATCCGGATCCCGGTCCCGACTGCGGGTTGGGGATTGGCCAAAATCTGAATCGGGATTCAAAAAACCGGGATAATCACGTCCGATCCTGCCCAACTCTAATTATAAGGCACGAGTTTTATCCCCAAGGTTATAACTTACTATACCGAGGTAGGTACTAATATTGAGGGCTGACTCTAATAATAATTTAATATTTAAGAGTTGGATCACTTGATAATCTCCCAAAGATAAAAATGAGTGATTCTCTTCCAAATATGTATGGACCTAAAGGACAGATTGATAGTTTAGCAAAGGGATTGGGTGTACCAATCCCTTCAAACCCTAAACACCGCTACGTTTTTCCTTGCAAGAAGAATATGCCTGATATTTCATTAACTGTAGGCGTGATGGGTGGAACAACTGCAGAAGTTATCTTAAAGCCAGACCAGTATATCGAAAAAACATTTAATGAAACTGGAGAGGTTTGTCTCTTTTTGTTTAAATCAAAATGGATGTACCTCTAACGGTTGGAGGCGAATGTTGAGGTAGTGCTTACCAGGAAGCGGAACTGGATTCGGTTCAGAGTCGGAACCGGAAGAATACTTAATACCTATATAATTTTCAAGGTTTTTGGGGGTTCAATTTTAAAATGTAACAATTTTTACAAAAAAAATTTTAAAAAATTTTTGATTTTCTCTAATCCATTTATGGATCCATTTATGACAATGGATTAGATGATGACAATGGATTTATGACAATGGATTAGAGAATCGATGGATTTGTGGATGGATCTAACTAT